GGGGACGCCTCTCGAGATTTCCCTGCGTTGAAATGGAACTCCGGAAACGAATCCTTCAAGGATTCCATGAGAAATAACAAACGACACAAAACTTACAATTCTTTCAGGAAGTCCGAGGCGTGCGAGTATAGAAAGAAGAACAGGCGGGACAACGTTGTCGAAAGCGCCTTCCACATCAAGAAAGACGGCTCAGGTAATCTGACGATTGTTGTTAGCTCTTTTAATGCAGGACGTGAAAATAGCCAGATTGTCTATGCAGGATAGGCCTCGCCGAAAGCCAAACTGAAACCTTGGGACGATATTGTTATTTTCAGACCACCATTCCAAACGTCTTTGTAGAATCTTTTCTAAGATTTTTAACATATTATTGGCAAGAGATATAGGGCGGTACGCACCTTTTTTTCCCGGTTTAGGGATAAAGATCACGAAGTAGTTTTTTCATTGATCTGGAAAAGTACTTTTTTCATACATAGAGTTGTATAAGTTGAGAACTCGTGGGTGTAGTTCCGTCGGAAAATGAGAGATAATATTGTTGGAGATTAAGTCAAGTCCTGGGGCAGATTTAACTTTTAGAGTCTCAATCACGGCCCAGTACTCATCCCAGCGAATCGGTGAATCTAGGAAGGTAATGTCTGGAGTCTCGTTGTAACAGGGAATATTGCTAAGCAGGTTCGTGTGGTCCGGAACTTCTAAAGCACACATAGGTGCAACCTTATCAAAGGCTTTAAGAAGACCGTCCGAGTCAATGTTATTACGATTGCCTTCACCACGAGAGTAGTTTCTTGCATGAGCAAACGCTTTAACCGTGTTCCATACAGACCCTATGTCGGAGTTGGCATGGAGTGATCCACAAAAGGATCTAAAAGCTGCACGTTTCTTTTTACGTAAGAAGCGCACAACTTCTTTAGTGACAGCACAGTACGTGTTCAGATTGGCCAGGCTTGGGTGTTGCTTGAACGAAGAGAAGGCAAACCTTTTTCGGCGAATCTCTTGGGAGCAAGAATCGTCCCACCAGGGGGTGGGAGGTTTGCGAGATGGGTTAGCCGACGTACTGACTTTTGCACCAGAACTAGTGAGAGCGCTGAGAATTAATTCCACGAGAAGATCATACGACTCATTGACGTTAGAGGAAGAGCTAGAGCTAGTACACTGTTCATCAACGAGGAGTTCCCTACAGCGTTCCTGGAACACGTTCCAGTCCACGTCTCTAACCGAGATGTACGGACGACAGGGTATTTTGCCCTCAAACCTACCGTGTATGGTGGTGAGTACGGGATAATGATCACTGCCATGGTGATAATCTGCTACCCTCCACTGACAATAGTTTATAAGATTACCAGATACGATTGTAAGGTCCAGAGCGGACTGTCGAGAGAGATCTAACGAAGACCAGGTGCGTTCATCGTTATTGAGCACAGCCCAGGACGAGTTCACGACAGCACTTTCTATTTTTTTCCCCTCATAGTTGCTACAACAACGAAAACTATTCCACAAGGGGCTTTTTCCGTTGAAGTCGCCACAGATAATTGAAGGCTCATACCTGGAACACAATTGAAAGAATGATGACCAGAAGTTTGCTTCAGTGTACGTGTCAGACCTGCGAGGCGGGCTGTACACCGAGAAAACGTGTACAAACTGATTGTTGGGTAACAACAGTTTCGCCGCGATAAATTCCACGTAATTGCGGGAGCACAACTGAATGATGTCGATATCTGTGACAAGTTGGAACTTTATATGTTTAGCAATAGCCAGAGCAACATCACCGCCCTGTCTATTCCTATCCATTGACACAATTTTATGATTAGGTAGAGTTACAATGGAAGACCGATCCATATACGTTTCGCAGAACGCGGCGACATGGATACAGCTTTCCTGTAGTAAGAACTTGACAATGTCTAGCTTACGAACCAAGGAACGACAGTTCCACTGCATAAAATTCAAAGATTTAAAGTTTAAGTTCCGTTGCATTGTGAGAAAAGAGTTTAGAGAGTACGACGTTTAGCAGGAAAGCTGAAATGGTTTTGAAAGATAACGCAGATTTATGTTAAATGATATTACTGAATTACTGCACTAAACGCAGACTTAAGAATTATTTCTAGATCTTTATCTAGAAGAGAAATACCGAACTTGGGATCACATAAAAGGTTTTGTTGAACCTTGAGAAGAAAATCTTTGGTAATAGTAGGTGGTTTACAGGTTTTCAAGCCAGGAATGTTGTCACTGCTCCTGACTCGAGGAACCGGCTTAACGGTAATTTTTTCTACCTGAACGGTATCATTGTTTTTTGCAAGAGGTGGGGGAGGAAAGAGTAGGTCTTTGGAGGCCGACTGATTACCGCCCCGCGGCGTAGGTAGCCTGGGAAGACTCGCACCGGGCGTACATTCGCCGGTGGTCTTACTCGATTTTTTAGGAGCGTTAAACTGAAAGACTCCTTTTGGAATAAACTCACCAAGAGTGGGAAGCGGAACGGGAGGAGATTGGTAAGGTGGGGTAACACTCCACCCGCGACCACCACCTCCACCCTTGTCACAGAGCAAGGAANCCTCTTTGAAGGAGACCTCCTTCTGAGCCATGATTCTGTGTATATTTTTATGTCTCAGAAACGCAGGGCACTTGGGGTCAGACGCCTGGTGGTTGGCGTTTCCAAGCTTGAGACGTATGCAGTTGACACACTCAAAGTCGTCGCTGAGGCAATCAGAGCCACCATGGCCCGTTTTGCCACACCTTTCACAAAACTGTTTGCCTCCTCTGGATTGTTTACAAGATACCGAGGTATGTCCCAGTCGTTGGCAGAACCCACACCTCCTGACCTTATAGACATAAGGGTGTAGAAACACCCTTTTGCCCATGTATATGCAAGATTGGGGAACACACGTAGACTTAAAGCGAAGTAAATAGGTGTTTGTGCTTACCAAGGTCGGGGGGGCGTTACCACTCCCACCTGAAACCCGTCTTTGCAATCGTACAGCCTCAAAAGGAGAGGTCCAGGAATACCCCCAGCCCGGAGGGGGCCGAATACTAGCAAGAACCTCTTCTGCTGTATCATCATCATCAACTCCTCGAAGAACATACTGTTTAACAACTCTAAAGCTGGGGACAAAGGCAATCCAGGTGTCCGAGGGAGTAATTTTGTCGCCGANCGACGAAAAGGACTCGACGAAGCTGTTCGCTAACTTTCCAGACGTGAAGACAACTGAAAATTTGTTTCTCCCTATGGATCGGAGATCATACGCCTCCTGGAACAAGTCATAAAGCAAGGTGTTTAGCCTTTTGCCCAGGCCGAGAACGCTAAAAGCGTTGGCGGTGCCGGCAGGCAGGTTAGGTCCGGCACCGTCTTTGTCACTACGAAATACTTGTCCGGACACTCCACACTCTATATGCACCAAATATGGCCCAGTGGAGTCCGGCAAGTATCTGTTGGCACGAAGGGCGAGTTGAGTATCGGAGAAGGGGGAAAAACGCGCTTTTCTCCCGCTGAGGCCTGCTCAGAGGCCTGTCTCTTCTTAGCTCTAGCGAGGGGGAAAGAGCCACAACGAGGGGAAACCCCAGTAGACTCTTGATCTTTGCCACCCGGGGGTGAATCTTCCGTAGGAAGTGGAGGCTTCCGAGGAGTATTCCCCCGATCAAAGCTAGCGTCCATGACGCAAAAAGAGCGAGCAAATGACTTTGCAACAATTAACGCGTGAGGTTACTTGAATGTTAAAACAAAAAAATGGCGGCCACAGGCCGTGTGCCCGGCGGACAGCATCAACAAGGGCAGGCCGATGTTACTAGGATAACGAAGCGCGTAGTATTAGATAATAAGACGTACTTACTTGTAATAAGTGCGTACAGAAAGCGGTAAAGAAAAGAAAATACTTATGCAGAAGCGCAACTAAAAGGCTGTGAAGGACAGGATGCAGAAAGCACGATGTGTCGCATGCGCAGTCTCAGAGTCGAATCCCCTCTATAATCTCTTCTTTTTCTTCTTTGCTTCTATGGCGCACGCCCCTGCACGTGAGGAGCCCTCTATAATCTCTTTTTTTCTTCTTTGCTTATATGGCTCACGCCCCTGCGAGAGAGGAGCAAACGCCAGTCTATCGATATACATTCTCAAAACAAATGTGGGGGGGGATGTGCAGTTTTTACCTACTACCACGCGATACACGGCAGCCGTGGCTAGTCGCGTATCTTCGCAATGAGAGGCACGAGGCCCGAGAAAGGGAGACACACGAAGTCCAAATATGGGCATAGATGGTCGAGCGTCATTATGCGCAGGCGCATCTACCAAGTGAGTGCGAGCGAGACAAAGCATTGCAAAGTGAGAGAAAGAACGCGAGAAAGAGAAATGCGCAAGCGTGCTTCAATGTTCACCGCATGCGCACAAAGCAGCTGGAGAGAGAGGCTACTATATTGTCTGCACCGTAACGGTGAGCTTCAGGTCGGCACCGTACTAGCAATATAGGAGTATTACATATATGATACACGGCCGTCTTTCATAGTGGGCGTGCCCATCTATGTCGGGCTCGTGCTCAAGATGGTATGACTACGATCGCCTTGTGGGAGGGAAATTAATTCGGGATTACACCCGAATTAATTTTTGGAGGCCCGATTCAGTTCGCCAATCAACCGATAAACTCGGTTGAAAGGGACCGGCCCGGAAAAAATCCTTAGGTGGTGAGCGGATTCGAACTCGGGACCTCCAGGTTCGCAGCCCCTGCACTCAGGCCGCGAGACCACTGGGCCGGTCTCTATAATCTTTCTTCTTCTTCTTCTTTGCTGTAATGGCTCTTGCCCCAGTGAGGTAGGAGCATACGCCAGTCTTCGATTGGTGGAACTTAACTTGACAGAGCTGTGCTGAGCTGTGCTGCACTGTATGTACTGGGTTTCAGATTGGAGCAGAAGGTGGAGGGGGAGGGGTAGAGGGAAGTATACACAGGAGAGAAAGAGAGGGAGAATGGAGCAGAAGTTGGAGGAAAAAAGACGGGGGAAAGAGAGAAAACATTGCGTGAGTTAGGGAGTCAAACACTGATGTTGGTAGAATTGGTGAACGTGAGCAAAGCAAACATGGCTTGTATATTATTTGAAAAGGCAATGTCCACTACACTATACGGTGGGCTAAAGCCACTATGGAAGAGGTCCAAGAGCAGTTTGTCCGTGGCAATTTTATTCACGGGGCAGTAAAAAAACAGATGGTTAATGTCCTGTATCGGATGACCACACGGGCAGGCAGCGCTATCAACAATACACTTGTCGTGAAGATGTTCATTAACCGCCATATGATGAGAGCGAATTCTAGATATTAGCGAGACTAGCTGGCGAGGGAGATACTTGTTCTTTTTAAACCTCATGAACCAGGGTCTACCCAACGGTTCCTGAACAAACCTGAAGTACCTGCTACCTTTGTGCTGGGCTTCAACTAACAACTGTTCCTTAGACGACTGCAACGCTTTAGACTTGAGTATCGGATATAAGGAGGACACCTCCTGCTTTTCAACAGGTTCTGGTAACGACAGAGAGAGCTTGGCATACTTATCTGCACGGTCATTGCCACCTATACCGCGATGACCAGGAATCCACACAAACAACACGTGTACATTACTCCGTCTCAGCTTTAGATCCAACTTTTTTATTAGGTACAGAGTATCAGAGTGTAAACCCTTGGGATCAGGGGACCCCAGACTGCGCATAACACTAAGAGAGTCCGACGCAACTGCTGCTAAACTGAACCCAAATTCATCCACATACTCCAGGGCGCACAAGACTCCCCTGGCTTCGGCCTCGTAGACCCCCGACCGGCTGCCGATACGCTCGTGGTGGGTAAGGTCAGGATTGTCCGACACCACTGCGAAGCCCGCAGAGGACGTCGAGTCCACACTGGAATTCCGAGACATCGACCCATCTGTAAAAAACACACGGGTAATCCCCTTCTCTGACAGGAACTCACGAAGCACATTCTGTGGATCATCAGTGCTACGGAGCTGGAACCCCATCTCCGTATCTACACTACACGTATGATATTGGATATCAAAAGGAGCAGACAAGTTACCAGGCAGGGAAAACTTCTTGACACCATCTACTAGGTGTGCAAGTTCCTTACGAACCTCGAAGAGACCGAACTGGTTGTCCTCACAAATAGGTGTCCAATCCCTAGACACTTCCTCCAACACGCGGCCAACAGGATGGTTCCTCCTGGCACTGACTCTAGAAACATATTTACTAACTAGAAACTTATGTCTGAACTGAAGGGGTTGCTCACAAGCAATGTCAAGGAAGACATTAGTGGGGATGGAACGCATTAAACCACACGCAATCCTTATGCATGGATATTGAAGTCTACTTAACACTAGCATTTCGCGACCGCCCAGAGGGTACATAACCTGACACCCCCACTCCAGGACCGACCAGACTAACCCCTTGTAAGCCGTTATTAGAACCGAAGGATGGGACCCCCACTTTATTCCCGTAATAGCCTTCAGGATGTTAATCCGGAGAAGGACCTTGCGACGGGTCTCCATGACGTGTTTTTTCCACTTTAAAGCGTAATCAATGTGCACGCCTAAAAACTTAACTGACCACTCTAACTTAACTGGACTCTGGTTTATTAGCAGCTGTATGTTATGTTTTCTAACCAGCCACTTGGTGTTGCGTAAGGAGTTGAGAGAGTAAAACGTGGCGACGGACTTGCTAGGAGAGATCCTCAAGTCGAGGGAGGCAAGGTGTCTAAAGACCCTGTCCAGAGCCTGGTTTAGATTCTGAGAGGTTTCAACTATTGACTGGTCTGAACTATACACAACAACATCGTCTGCATAGATGAGTGCAGTGACCACGGGTGGAAGGCAGGTTTCCACGCCCGACATGTATATGTTGAACAGGAGTGGGCTTAGCACAGAGCCTTGTGGGGCCCGGGCGATTTTCCTCCACCTTGTCGTGGTGTCCGGGCTTAGGAGCGGTGAAGCGAGGGGGCTATACTGGCGGGGAATCCTTTGATTCCCTGGCAGGGTCACCCATGCCAGGAAGGCCCTTCGCGGAGCTCCTGTATTAAGAGAGGAAATAGAGGAAGGAAAACCTCGAACAAAAACCGGGGGATCCCAGCCTCGCTTAGCACTT